GACCGGACCCAAAAAAAAAAAAAATTAGCTATGAGAATTTAGGTTCAAAGCTAACCTGGACAGACAAATCAGAGCCTTTTATTTCAAGTTAAAATTGGAGGTATGGGGCTATGAAGGTGGTTCAGTGGTAGAGTGCTTGCCTTGCATGCTTGAGGCCCTGGGTTCAATTCCTCAGCACCACATAAGCAAAAAGAAAAAAAAAAGCTGGAAGTGGCACTGTGACTCAAATGATACAGCGCTAGCCTTGAGCTGAAGAGCTGAGGGACAGCACCCAGGCCCAGAGTTCAGGCCCCACGACTGGACCCAAACAAACAAATAAATAAATAAAATTGGAGGTATGGCTCAAGTGGTAGAGTGCTAGCCATGAGTAAAAAAGCCAACAAAGCTAGGTGCCAGTGGCTTGTAGCTGTAATCCTAGCTAGTCAAGAGGTTGAGATCTGATGACTGAGGTTCAAAGCCAGCCCATGTAGGACAAGTCTGTGAGACTCTTATCTCCAAGTAATCACCAAAAACCTGGACATGGAGCTGTGGCTCAAAGGGTAGACTACTAGCTTTGAGCAAAAAAAGCTCAGGGACACTGACCAGGCCAAGTTCAAGCCACAGTAACAGCACATGCACACAATTTTTTCCCCCTGAGAAATGGACAGAACCAAACAGTTTGAGGAATTATGAGAAAGAGAAGTGCTCATCACCTGGGCAGCCATGGAACACACATAAAAGGCAAGCAAACTTGGCTCACCTCGGTACTGGTAAAGGTGGGTGCCTATAATTGGGCGCCGCCACAGTTTAAAATGTTTTTTATCCATCACCATTTCCCATGGTTCCTCTTTGTCCTTTAAATCTTCATTCCCTTCTGTTTGGGATTTTGATTCTGGAGGGTGATGCTCGACTCCAGAGCTCTGAAATATGCTTGACATTTCCTCCAACCGTTTCATTTCATTAATGGATCTAGAAAGACAAAAACAGGCATGGTATAGACCTGCAAACAATGTTGTTTTAAGAGAGAATATATTGTGTTAAGTGAAAACTCAGTTTCCAAGTTTGAATCCTAATCCAACACACATTGAACTGAGCATTACTGAGGATTGAACTCAATGCTAGGCGTGTGCTAGGCAAGCTCTCCACCAATTAAGCCACACACAGTTCCAACACTAATTAATTAAAATAAATTACTGAGAGACAAAGGACAAAGGAGGAACCAGTGCAACAGTGATACTCACAAAACAATATGTTGGAAATGATCTGTCCAACTGGGGGAGGGGAGGTTGGGGGGAGGGAAAGTGGGAAAATAATTAGGGAGGGGGTAACAAGTTGGACAAAGAAAATGTACTCACTACCTTACTTACGTAACTGTAACCCCTCTGTACATCACCTTGACAATAAAAAAATAAAAATAAATAACTAATCTCCATTTGTTCCTCCTCCTCCTCCTCTTTTTCTTCTCCACTACCTTTTCCCCTCTCCCTCCTCTTACTCCTCCTTTTGGGCCAGGACCAAAGTATGAACTCATGGCCTTATTCTTGCTTAGTTTGCTTGCTCATAGCTAGTGTTCCACCATTTGAACTACACCTCTAGCTCTGCTTTTTGCTCACTAATTGGAGAGTCTAAGGATTTTTCTGCTCAGGCTGGCTTCAAATGAAGATCCTCAGATCTCAGCCTTCTGAGTAGTCAGGATTACAGGCATGAGCTATCAGCACCTGAAATCATTTTTAAATCTGTAAAATCTCAAATGATCATGTGCCTTTTTCCTTTTCTTCTATTAATGTAACACATTAATCTTACATATAATAAACCAATCTTACTTTCCTGGAATAAATTCCACTTCTTCATGGAATGTAATCCCTTTTATGTTATTAGATTCAGTTTGTTGGTACTTGGATTACATAAAAGTTCTAAAACATGCAAAATAATACTATGTATCATACTTTGTATTATATCTAATGTATGTATAAAGACATAGGGATGATATAAGCAAATTGAGATAATGGTTGCATTTAGGAAAGAAAAAAATTCATAAAGAGTACGGGGGTGGGGGGGTAAGATGGGAAGGGATGGGAAAGGGAAACAAAGGAGGAGCAACAATGCTTGATAAGAATTGTACTCATTATCTTACCCATGTAATTGTAACCCCTCTGTACAGTATTTTCACAATAAAAAAATATAGTAAAACATAAAAAAAGAGTACAGAGGAAAATTTTATTTCTTAAACATAACTGTATTTGTAACATTCACCTTATTTTTAAAATTTTTTAATGCTGGTAGTCGTGACTCACACCTATAATCCTAGCTTATATTAGGAGGCTATGATATGAGGATCAGAATTCAAAGCAAGCTAGGGCAGTAAAACCCATGAGATGTTCCTCTCTATCAAAAAAGCCTAGAGTTTCAAGTGGTAGAGCACTAGCCTTGAGCACAAAAGCTCAGGGACAGTACTTAGGCCCCAGGACCAGCACCACCAAAAAAAAGAAAAAGGAACACACACACACACAAACAACAAAAAAACATGGCTTGCATTTACTAACACACTGAAATGTCCTTCTTCTCTCAACTTTCAAAACCACATATAAGAGAAATAACAAAATGCTGAAATAAGGATACAGGATGACCCATTGTAACAATGAGATGTACAAGACACTATGTTGAAAACGAACTTTTTGGCGCTGGGAGGGGGGCAGAGGGGAAGGGATGGTAGGGAAAAGCAAAGGAGGAGGCAACAATGCTTGATAGGAAATGGACTTATTACATTTTTTAAAAAACATATATAAAAGCACTACACACTGTTGACTCATGCCTGCAATCCTAGCTACTCAGGAGGCTGAGATCTGAGGATTGCGGCTCAAAGCCAGCCCAGACAGGAAAGGCCTTGAGACTCTCTCATCTTCAATTAACCACCAAAAAACCAGCAGTGGAGCTGTGGCTTAAAGTGGTAGATTGCTAGCCTTGAGCACAAAAGCTCAGGGGCAGCACTCAGGCCCTGAGTTCAAGCCCCATGGCTGACATACACACATACACACACACACATACGTACATACATACATATATACATACATACATAAAGTACGTACACACCAAAAGGTAACTTTTAAGCAGTTAAATATTTGCATTTATTTTGCATGTGTTTGAATCTCTGTGCCATTCCTGGAGCTTGCATTCAGAGCCTAGACACTGTCCCTAAGCTTTTTCGCTCAAGAACAGCGCTCTACCAGTGGAGCCATACCTCATTTCTATCTTTTTGGTGGTTAATTGGAGATAAAGAGTCTCGTGGACTTTCCTGATCTGGCTAGCTTCAAACCAACCAAGATCCTCAAGATATCAGCCTCTTGAATAGCTAGGTTTACAAGTATGAACCACTACTGCCTGGCTACATTTATTTTTAATCCCACATAGAAACATATATATACACATGTACATATGTATATACATAAATGTATGTAATACATATTATATATATGGGTGTAGTGACTCAAGCACATTATCCTAGCTACTTAGAAGGTAGAGATCTGAAGATCATAGTTCAAGGCAAGCTGGGGGGAGGGGGGGAGGAGAAGCGTAAGACTGTATAGCAACATATCTCAACCAATGTGGGGCCTGATGGTACATACTTGTCATCCCAGCAACAAGACTGAAGTCCAGGCTAATGCAGGATAAAGCTGGACCCTATCTTGAAAACAGCCAACAGAGAGTGGCTCATATGGAAAGAACATCTACTAATAAGTGCAAGGCCCTGAATTAAAACCGCAGGTGCCATCCAATACACACATATATGTGTGTGTGAGATATACATATACTTATATATGTATACAGGTGATACACTTCTTATACCATTTACCTTCCTTGCTAAATTATGAATTGCCTAATGACCCAGAATGACTTTCTTTTTTTGAGACAGGGTTTCCTGAATGCTGAAATTACTACAGTGGCATATACTACCCACCAGATCACCTCTTCCTTAATTGTGACTCCAAGTCCTAGTTTGTGTCTAGTAAACAGTACTCAACAAATATTTACTGAAAAAAATGAGCAAATAAAACAATTACATAAATATATTGCTGAAAAGGACAAAAATTCATTGAAGCATGGTGGCCCACATCTGCAATTTCACTGTTTATGTGGTTGAGGTGAGAGGATCATAAATTTGGAACCAACCTGAGCTAAACAGTAGTTCTAGGGTAGCTTGGTCTAAATAGCAAGACTGTGTCTCAACCTAAATTAGTAAATGAGCAAAAAAACTTCAGAGCAACCAGAAATTATGGAGTGTCTAGTCTGTTACCAACTAGCTGTGTGATTTTACATAAGGCATTTACCTTAAATGATGACAATATTTCTGGAAAATTCCTGCTACAGAATGTCAACTTACTGAATTTTACACTTTGGACTTAGATCAAAATATCTATCAAAAGAAATATTTACTATTTTGCCTGGAATCAAAATCATTTTGATTTTGTAGCTGAAATCCCTTCCTAGTGGGCAAAGGTGGATGCAGCAGACCCCTCCCAATATTGCAGTAAAGTCCAGCACCTATTTTTCAATGAAGTTAGAACTTGCAGGAAGTGTTCTGAATTTTAAATTTGAGGAAATAATACAAAGGCACATAGATTTTTTTTTTGGGGGGGGGATTGGAGGTCTTGCTCAGGTTTCTTGATCATGGATGGTGTTCTACAACTTGAGTCACACTTCCAATCTGACATTTTTGCTGGATATAGATTCTCAAAGTTTTCTGCCTGGTCTGACTTTGAATCTCAATCTTCTAGGTCTCAGTATCCTGAGTAGCTAGGATTAAAGGCATAGACCACCAGCTAAAACACAGAATCTTTTGGAGATTTCTGTCAATGACTTTGGAGGAATTAAGTCCAGCAGACAACTGGGGACATAGCTCAGCAGCACAGCTCTGCCTAGCAAACATAATGCCTGACACAGACACAGACACACAGACACACAGACACACACACACACACACACACACACACAAAATACTAGCTATGCTGCTGTAAGTAGATTATTCCTTGGTTGTTCTCTTGGACAGCCTGGCCTTATCAATGCTCTGAATGACATCACCAACAAGAAATTAGCTGAGTTACTTTTTCTGGGTCAAGAAAATCAAGATTAGTTTTAGCCAGGCGCCGGTGGCTCACACCTGTAATCCTAGCTACTCAGAAGGCTGAGATCTGAGGATCACGGTTCAAATCGGGCTGGCTCTGAACCGCAGGAAAGTCTTGTGAGACTCTTATCTCCAATAAACCACTAGAAAACCAGAAATGGTGCTGTGGCTCAAGCGGCAGAGTGCTCGCCTGCTGAAGAGCGCAGGGACAGTGCCCAAGCCCAGAGTTCAAGCCCCATGACTGACCAAAAAAAAAAAAAAAAATCAAGATTAGTTTTATTATTTGTAACCTAGAACCTTTACCAGTACAATTTATATTGATGTCCTGATGAAAATTGTTTCACCATTTTTTAAATTTAAATTAAAAGTTGGAAAATAAGACTAAGGCTGGCCCAACAAATATCTAAGTACAGAAATACTGAAGGAACCTTACTTGACAAGCAATTAGATCTTACAGAACAGAAAGCAAAAGCAAAAAAACCTACACATTGTCTTGGGTAGCATCAATTAATACTACTTTTGCAGGGTGCCGGTGGCTTACGCCTGTAATCCTAGCTATCAAGGATCCTCAGGATCCTCAGGAAATCTGAGGATTAGTTCAACGCCAGCCTGGGCAGGAAAATCTGTGAGACTTTTATCTCCAATTAACCACCAGAAAACCAGAAGTGGCACTACAGCTCAAATGAAGAGCTGAGGAACAGTGCCCAGGCCCAGAGTTCAAGCCCTACTACCAACAACAACAACAACAAAAACTATTTTTAAGGACTAATACAGAACACTTCAATAATTAAGCAACACTGATGAAGGTCTTTCTTACTAAATAATGAAGAAGGGGTAGGACTCTGTTTCC